ATATTATTATTTATTTTGGATGCTGCTGCGCTTTCAAGTAATTCAAATGCAGATTATATGAGAGATCCCTAGTAGATAGTTTTTTTCGTCACGTGATCATATTAAGAAAAATGTAAGCAGTAATAGCTAAATATATTTATATAAATATTTCTAGTATATAAGTGAGTTAGCTGCCATACTTTCATTACAATAATGTATGATTCACTCGTGTAATAGTATATGTAACTCCATAGCCCTCTATTAGGAAGCAAATATTTCCAAATGGCGGTCAATAGTCGTCTTATTCACCATCGTTCAGCATATCTTTCAGTTCAGGCTCCACCTCAGCATCGCCATCCGCATCTGCATCATCCACAAACTCATCCAAGTCATCTGCGCAAAAAAAATTAACCGTTATTGTCACGTGAAAAATTCAAGTAATGACCAATTACTCACGATTCTCGACAACCACCGGCTCCTGCTTCGTTGGTGTCGCCGCTTCCTCTGCCACGGGCAGACCCATCTCTAATTTAGGCACTTTGGCTCCCGGTCCACCAATTGTGTAAGCTGGTTTGGCGCGACTAAACAATAAGAAAGAATAATTTCATTAAAGCAATTTCAAAATTATATTAAAAGTTCAGCACCCACCTATTATTGTGCTTAATGGGCCCCGTTTCAATGATTGGCACATTTTTCACGTCTAAAGCCTCACTTGCCGCAACCTCTGTGGCTGTTGTGCTGACAGCAGTTACATTATCTTCCGTCAACGTACGCAAAATATCATAATTGATTTTGCTTGAGATCTTCTTTTCCTGCAACATTTTCTCGATGGCCTCCCCTGCGCTTGTTGAAGGACCAATTGGTTTACGACGTGACCGTCGCTTTGTCTTCTTCGGTTTGCCCTCTTCGCGTTCTTTGGCCAAGAACATGTTTTATATCTATGTAATCCACCAAAATCATGCGAACGGACTCGGGAGCGATGTCGCTGTCCATTTTCCATCAGTTGAAGAGGTCGAAGGTCGTCCAGAACGAGGCATGTCTTTAATGATCTCCCGACCGTCTTTGAAGGCTTTGTACCACTCGCAGGATTAGTTTAAATCGTCCCTAAACAGTGCAGAAAAATAAGAGACGAAAATAATATAATAATATTTGTTTATATTAATGGAAGTAAAAGAAAAGTCTAGTAAGCTCGATTTACGAAAAATATGGCACAAAGATTACCAGACTTATCTCAAAATAATACTAGTCAGTTGATATTAAAAATAATTTTTGAAGTGCTTTAAAAGTGCGTTTTTATTTTTCACTACACTCGGCGAAAAAAAAACCCACGCTCTCTACAAAATGCTTTTATATAGCGCAGAACCTAGATTCATATTATCCTAAGATAAACATTTTTCTTTGAGGGTCAACCACTGTTATTTAGTTTATGTTTCAAGCATTTTTATATAAAAAAAACTTATAGTTTAACACTTGTTGTGGTGAAAAATGTAAAAACACACACATAATAGCCACACAAGTAAATTTTGTTTTGAACATTAAATAATAATAATAATGTAATTTTTAAACAATTTACAAGGCAATCGGCCGGCCGGTCCTGAACTACGCAGCACCAATATAGTCGCCTGGATGCAGTGGTACGCAGATGAGGAAACTCTAGACCTTCCAAAGTACTGCTCTCCGGACCACGACGGGTTGCGTTTTGATGTCCCCACCGAACACCTTCATAGTGAGACGCTAATGTTCCCAGCTAAGGAGCATAATGAACTCCTCTCCAAGCAGTTCCTACTGGGACGTTTTCGTAGAAATCTCCGCATGACACTGACGACCTCTTTGCATACCCTACCAACCCCACCCATCTAACACCCTTTTCAATTTTGTCCGACCGCATCGTAACAGCACGTTTCCTGGGCGTTCCGTCAGATGACGTCGACGACAACACAGATAACCCTTACCATCCTAAAGGGGATTGATAACCGTTATAAGAGCAACAACATCAGAAAACAAAATACCCCGAAAGTTCAAACGTTTAGAATCGGACTTTCTCTAAAGTTAAAACAATAGTGAACTACATCCTAGAGCTTGTATATATGTATGTATATATCAATTAATCTCATGATCTACTTGATAACCCAAGTAAATAGACATGCATAAAATATTTTATACATGAGTGTCACTTACGTTTTCAAATTAAATAGTCCATGCATTTGAATATAGTCAATGACCCTGTCATCAAGCAAGTATTTCACAGACTCATCGCGCGAAATAAGACGTCGTATTATTGTTGAACTAACCTCGTTTGGTACAGAATTCGTTATTAACGTAATATGTTTCTTTGATAAGAAAAAAAAAGACATCAAAATAATTTTGTGACCACTACTAATCAAAAACATTGTTGATAAACCATACCTTATATTTCGTCAACATATCTGACTCGCTAATGAATTTTTCAGGATTAGAGCCATAGCGTGATATTACCACTAAACCATGATTGCCAAGAATATCTTCGATCTTAAAAAAAAAAAATTAATTAAATTGGATTTGAAATGTCTGAAATATGATTGCGCTAATACATACATCCTTATCTGCCCATAAACCCGGTACTGCAAATGATTCTAATAAATCAGCTCCACACAGCAATTTCAATTGCACGTCATCCTGCCGCTCACGCAAACCGGGAGGCATCCAACCAGGTGGAGTACCTTTCATGTCACTTTCCAGTGGTGAGTTGATATAGTTATTCATATACTTTTGATGATACTGCAGAACGGAGCTTGTGCGCGACCATTTCCATTGCTGTATTTCCCAGTCCGAGGGCTTAAAAGTATAGAAGTTAAATAAAGCCTGTAAAGATGTTATAACCAACTTACTTTGATCCATGTTGAGGATTGCAATGCTAATTTCAACATAGCAAACCGATGTGTACCAGCAACGAGTCCTTTCTTCTGATATGAATTGTGTGTGGGTGAAACGATGCCACCAATGACGTGGTGTGTTCTTTGTTTTTTGTAATAATCGCGTGCAATTTCTATATTATAAAAGGAAAATATAATAAAAAATATTTAAACTGAAAACGCTTAATAATATTTCACAATCTCACCGAACATGCGAAAGTGCATTGGCGTCGGTGGGTTGAAGGAACCACAGCCTATCAAAACTAACCGAGCCGCATGCGCGAAATCCATATTTTGTTTGATTGTTAGTAACGCTAAGAGAACGGCTGCACCAATCTTGATAAAATTTTCAGAGGCTTTTCGTTGTGGATCGGGGAAGGTTTAGAAATAAAAATATCTTACACTTTTCCTGAGGAAAAGTCGGAAAATTGGATAATTCCAAAAAGTAACTTTTTTCTATGTGTACAAATTTTTTTTCCAATTTTTGTTTGTTTTGTTTTTCAATATTTTGATTTGTACATTATTTGAAACGTTCAATTTCGGACGCTTGCTTTTTTATTCCGGCTATTCAAAGGAAAATTATTCAGTGAAAACTTTACGTTTACAGAAAGTGATTAATTGCGAAGGGATCGCCCTAATATTGGTCCGCGTTCTTTTTGCCGCCAGGCAAGGCAAGGCAAAAACAAAATCTTTATGAAATATTAAGTTTTTGGAAATATTTTTTTTGGTACGTCCTCTGTTCTTTCAAAAAAGAAAAATATGATTACAAAATTTGTTAGTATTAAAAATAAATATTTTACAATCTGGAAAATACAACTCTGCAGAAAAATCACATGTAAATAATGCCCACAACAACAAATGTGCATAACAATGCCCCACAATGTTTTGACAAATTTCAATCCTTCACTTTGTTAAATGTTGAAATGTGTACAATTGATTAAAAGTGCATTTAATTTGCATATTTTGTATAATATGTAACATATTTTGTATAAAATTTGTATACAAATGTTAATTTTAAACGAATAATATATGAAATGAAGTTTTGTAGGAAGCCATAATACCCAAAACAATAGTGAAACAGTCCTCGATATTCAATAGTTTCTGATTGATGTAATTTTATTAAGTATTAAAAGTATACTAAATAAACTTGTGTTAGAAACACTGCAGTTTTAATTAGTTTACAAATAGCGGAATACACACACACTGTACAATAAAATGTCGTCGGGATTAAAGTGTCGCAATTGTGGTTCCACCGATATCGAGGAAGACAATGCACGTGGCGATGCCGTTTGTACCAATTGCGGTTCGGTGTTAGAAGATTCGCTCATTGTATCCGAAATACAATTCGAAGAAATTGGTCATGGTGCGGCGGCGATTGGTCAATTTGTGTCCGCGGAATCGAACGGCGGTGCGACAAATTACGGTTATGGTAAATTTCAAGTTGGCTCCGGCACTGAATCTCGTGAAGTGACAATTAAAAAAGCTAAAAAAGAAATCACACATTTGTGTCAGCAGCTACAATTAACGCAGCATTATATTGACACGGCATTGAATTTCTTTAAAATGGCTTTAGCACGTCATTTGACGCGTGGCCGCAAGAGCACGCACATTTATGCCGCCTGTGTCTACATCACTTGCCGCACGGAGGGCACATCACGTAAGTTCACATATTCGCGTACCGTACTTTGGATTGTTAAGTATTTTATTTTCTTTATTGTTTGCTATAGATTTGCTGATTGACATTAGTGATGTGCAGCAAATCTGCTCCTATGAATTGGGTCGTACTTATCTGAAGCTATCTAATGCATTATGCATAAACATTCCATCTGTCGGTGAGTCTTTTAAAAAATTTTTCACTTTAGAAATTCAATAGTACAGAGTATAAATGTATATTAGGTGTTCTGTATATTAGGTGGTATGCTTAGCTTCTTAAACGAAAACAAGTAACGTTTTTTTTGTCACCATTTTTTTATGATACAGAGGCGGTGATTTACCAATATTTTTACCCTGAACGGTGTATATTAAGCTTACCATGAACTTTTTAACATCCAGAAGGAGACTTGGAGATCTTATATGTATATAAATCATCAACATGACGAGCTGAGCCAATTTAGCTATGTTCGCTGGTACGTCTCTTTTGTGTATACGTGAACTAGTCCCTAAGTTCATCTCTAACAAGTTGTTCATTTATCGGAACCGCCGATATTGACCCATAATAGCACCCTTCCCACGACATTAGGGTCTACATAACCGCAACGGACCCTGTCTTTATCCAGCCAAGAATTGCAAAGTCGAAGATTTCTTTCGCTACAATAACCACAAAAACAACAACAACAACCCATTATAGCATATACATAGCTGTCTTGTGAACTGACTGGTCAAGCTCAAGTCTTTGTAAGATTATATTCTTTATTTGACAAGGTATCTTCACGAAATTTGGAACAAATTATTGTTCAGATGCGATTGCTATACATACTGACTGATCTAAATCAAGTTCCTATATGTAAACTTTCTTATTTTGAAGGTATACCTTCTGACCTTAATGTTTTTCTGGTTTTTAAAAAAGTGTTTTTTTTTTTTAATTTTGAATTCTGGATTTCATATTGATAGTCTTTAGTCATATTTTAGCTCTGGTTTCAATTATTTCAGGTTTTTAGTTTTTTTTCAGGATGTCATCCCTTCAAAATTGTTCCACAATAAATCAAGAAAACATATTTTAAAGTAATCTTAAAGATTTTTATTAAATATTATTCAAAGGTAATATCGACAGATTGTAGTAGATAAAAAGAACTAAACCTTAGCAGTGAAAAATCTAAAAAAGTAAATAGTACAAAAAGTCATAACTTATCTTTAAAATCAAAAAAGCACAAATAGTTCAGCCAAATAGCAGTTGCAATATACTATATGTAAGCCCTACACTCCACCAAACTGCTACGTTAACTCATTACTGGCCATTTCCCTAAACGCAACACAACCACGGAAAATGTGAACAACAAAAGGGGCTTGAAAAATATTCAGCACAAATGCAAGGCGTTGAAAGGAAATGCAGTTAAAGAATTCATAAAGCGATAATTACCATAGTAAAAAGCATAAAATATTCCAATATTCATAATGATTACGTCCATGTATACAGGACGAACGCTAATATGCTACGTGAATACTAATTGATTATTTCGACTGTGATGCGTGCAAACCCTTTTCAATGTACTATGTATTTTCGTAAATGTATTGCATTACTAATGAAACTCGTAATTACTCGCAAATTCAACTCATCACTACTACAATATGTAATGTTATTTAGGCAAAAAGAGTTGTAATATCATTACTTTAGCATTATAGTTGCGTATATAGTATGAATATAGTATAAGTATACTTTTGTTTCTCGCATTTCTTTTGGGTATATGAAAAAACTAGTGGAAAAATTACTAATGTATGCCTTGTATGCATTTATATATGTATGTATATGTTTTCATGTAATTGTATATAGTATGTGTATGTGTATTTGTATGCATGTAAACTTTTTAAACATTTTCGCCCTAATAGCCTGACCCTGTGCCGTTATACAACAGGATATATTTTAGATAAATACATAACTTTCTTTTTTGTTTTGTAAAATTCTCTCGTTTGTTTTTGATTTCGATTTGCTTTTTTTTTTTTGGTTTTTAATGTATGAATTCATATATGTATGTAGGTATGTCTGTAATATGCAATTGCTTTTTTGTTTACTTCATTTCCCAGATTATTGTGTACGTTTTCTTCTCAAAAATTCTACATTCTACAAGTCTTTGAAAATCGTGTGTAATGTTAGTTACAGATTTTGTTAGTTTTTTTGTGCCTTTAGAATTTGTTTAACCAAATTTGATTGCCTTTTCCCCCTAACCTTACCTCCAACAAATGAAGGAAGTGCGTTCCCTACACAAATGTTTTGTTTGACTTTCAACTGCATTATTATTATACATATACAAACTTTAACTTTCGTTTCTGCGGAAAACAATTTGCCTGTAATGGCCTACATTTTGCCATTGCTTGCATTCCTTTCATTGTATGTATGTATTTGTAAATATTGCCTGTATTTAATTGTATTTGGTTGTCGGTTCGCTCACTTGCCATTACTACCTACATGTATTTATATGTATGTATTTATGTATAAACTATTTAATCATTATAGTTTCTTTGTAAATTTCACATTGAAAAACCATAGATTGCCATTATTTGTTACGCACGCACTGCTCAAAAGAGTTCCGCATCATCGCTCTTGCAAATTTCGAATATTTCTCATGCGCTCAATGCGCCACTACCGCCACCGTCACTGCTACCGCTACCCAATAAGTCATCACAATTTACATGTAAGCCACCGCTATTCGAAACGCCACCACCGGTGCCGCCGCCACCGCTGCTACCCGCACCAATTGGTGTGGGACACAGTGAGTTAGTTGGTGAGCTTAATGCCGTCACTGTTGTTGGCCCGTAAAATATCAGTTCAGGTATTTGACCGCCTTGCACACCGGTGCCGTTTGTGCTCTCCGATGAGCATTGGAACTGGAAAGTTACATTGCCCATGCACACTTCGGACATGCCCTCCTGGCCGAAGAAGCTCAGTTCGTTGCCGTCAAGTATGACGGATGCAGTGTAATAGCACTCGGGTTCAATTTGTATGGGATTCTCGAAAAATACGTGGAATGTGTTGCTTGAGCCATCCGAAAAGAATTTGGTATCGTTTTCTGCGAGCGTGCGTCCCAAACGTTTCAATTCAATTTTTACATTATAATTAGCAGCACCGGTGGAGGAACCGTACAGGCCGAAGCCAACAATGAAGATTCTGTAAACAAAATGTAACATTAAATGCACATTACAGTAGTTACTTTAGTAACCAGTACAAACCTGCGATCCACAGAGAATTGTATGGAATCGCAACGGCCGCGATAACGCCATTGATTGGAGCGATAAGCGCACGACTGAAACCGATGGCATACTTGCGTTTTGAGGCCTGCACGCGCACGTGTAGGAAAACTTAAATGCGGTTTTGATTGTGCGGTAAAATGCAAAAATATATCAATAGTCTCTTGTGATGTGAGTATGCCAGTCTGTGCGACACCATTTGCGAACTCCTCCAGCGTCATGGTTGGTATACGTATTAAATGTAATGCTTGACCCAACATGCTGCGCTTATTTGGTGCCGTCACGTCAACTCCCATCTTCTGGCAAGCATTCAGAGCCCAATTGAGCGCCGCCTCAAAGAGATGTATCTCCTTGCAGTTAAGCGTCTCACGCGACAATATCGACTCGAATGT